CCCTACACGACGCTCTTCCGATCTCCCCAAAACCCCAAAACCCCTTCAATCAATCACAAAGTTAAATATGAAAATTGATAAAAGTTTTTATCTTTAATTACCTGCTAGGAATTTAGTGATTTGGTTATCATAAAGTAGAGAATCTTTCAATGATCTTTTATTCTCATAAATCATTCTCGACTCTTTTAAAGGGCATATCAGCTGGCCTTTGGATCCAATTGTCCTCATCATATTTGATCTCTGGGGACCCTTCAACAATGTGAAGAGTGTAGGCGTGTCTTTGGATATTGCTAGTGTTTTTATGAGAGAAATGTAAGAAGTTTCCATGCAAGACTACAATAGCACCTGCTGATGTTTCAAGGGGCACTGCTCCCTCAATCGAGTATTATTTCTCAGGGACCTTTGGAACCATATGAGTCGTCTTTCCACCTGTCTTTTCATTGATAGCTTATCTTAAATAGTTAAAAGGTTTCTCTCTATGGGAGCCTGGAACACCCCAAAGACAGCCATTATCCTTTGAAGCACTGTCTAATCCCAACCAGATACCTTGGCAAGTCAAAGGAGTTGTCAGTAAAAATGAGTTATCTTTGTGGGCATCTACTTCTCCACCTATTCTTGAGTTCTATATTTAATAATTAAGAAAGCATTATATTACTTTGAAGATATACATTGATTAAACAATTAAAGGCTGCTTGAATTCCATAAGTTTGAATAATAGTGTTCTGGACACCTTTGAATAAGATAGTTTTTCGAATACAGGGTCAAGATCATGCATGTTGTGACCTACTTTGTTGAATGCCTCTTGCTTGGGAACTATCAAGTTACCATCATTATCTAAAGCATCTTTCTCATAGAACGGTTTAATCTGAGTAAAATATTGAATATCCTGACAAAATGCTTACCTGCCAGGCGCTATTGAGGAAGTATTCGTCTCTTTATTATTAAGTAGCGTCATCAGCCGAAAATACTGCAATGTCTCTCTCTTTATTCACATCAATTGTCTCAACTATTTCTCTCATTCTATTCTTTACTTCATTAATGCTATCTTCATCATAGATTTCTTAGAATACTGCATATCTATATTAAGGATTGATTTGATTATACTGATGTCATGAATCTTTGATGATTAATGAGGCATTTGATAATTAAGAAACCAACTTACCCATCTTATTTGTATTAAGCTATTTTTTAAGGAGTAAGCTGCTTCATTAACTAAATCTCTATTATTGACATAATGGATTACTCTCTGATAGCACTTTTCTTCATTTAATTATAGTTTTGAAGAGAACTTTTTGAAATGGTTCATTAAAGTATTGGATCTCATTTTATTATAGATAATACAACCAAGTATTTATTAATATAGCTCTTTAATACTCTGTAATTATTAGCACTTGGGGTTTTGGGGTTTTGGGGTTTTGGGG